TGTCTGAACAAATGTCCTTGAACATGATAGGTGAAGCTAAAGCGGGTCACCAGGTTTTACACATTTAGGGTGGGTTAAGCATTTCTTTTTGTTGTCGATTCTTTCGGAGTCACCCCTTGGAAAACCAGTGCTACGTACCAGGGAGGAACTGGGGTAACATCAAACATTCACTTCCATAATGCAACCAGGCTCGATTGGTAGCATTCGTTGTCGAACACCTCCGGCATTGCTAAGGTTGATTGCATTCTGATATTCCCACACAAGTTACTCTCACGAAGCATTCCTCAAGATTTTCCCTTTTTAGTGGTCCTATTATTCACAAGATTGTTGCTGCCTAAACGAGAGAGTAAATAGGAAACTCTTCCATATTGGTCGCTTATCAGACATTAAATAACATTGAAATATACTATATGCATATTCCAAGTCTACCTATAGTAAGCTTATAAACTGGCTACTAACAAACCCCGGTTCGTCAGTGAACTAGTCGATTTAGCTCATGTCACATCTATCGTAATTCTGATCTATCGACAATCTTCGTGATTCGATCGATCGATTCGATATTACTCTCTATGAATAGCTGACTCAAAGCCTGGCCCCATTGTGATGCAACAGAAGTGAGGTTTTTTCCGATCATCTCACTGTCACAATTTCACTGATCGAATTTTTGAAGCGGTCTTCAATTATTCCAACGGGGTTTTCGTTTGATTTTTCTCGTGTTGATAAACGCGTGATCGAGCGCGCGCACACACACACACGCACAATATACTTTTTTCTAGGCCCACACGTGCATTTCAGTATTTACTTAAATGATCAGCATACCTTCTTCCAACAATGAGCAAGCTGATGGTTCCCGGTACAGTGTGTGGTTGTGAATGGATTACCTAAGCACTTCATACATTTGCGGTTTAATCAATGAAATTCGAAACCCATCTGTGTCACCACGTTCAGTATTTCAGTCGCTAATCAGGAAGTATTGAGGTTTGACTTAATCAACTTATACTCGGATTCCTTCACCCCATTAGTTATTCAGGGACAACCCGAATCTGAGTGCTATTCATTTTTGCCACAGCTATTCGGTTCATGATATCTGTTTGGTGAACGGAATAGATTCAGCTGCCCACGCAGCATTGCGTTAATCTGGTGGGGTAGCCGGACGAGCAATGTTGAGGTTAGGCGCAGGGTTTGGGGTAACCGCGGTCGCCCACTGGAGCAAGTGGTCGACCTCCATATATTACGTTGGTTGGGGCAAGTGTTACACATGTCACCAGGTAGGTTAGGCAGGCGAGTGATGTTTGCCGAGGTAGGTAATGGGTGGAAAAAAGCCAAGGGTGGTCAAGCTAAGACCTGGCATGAGGGTATGAAAACCCTAACCAGGAGACTGGGTTATATAAGTCCTGTTAGGCTCCCTGACTGGGGGCCCCGAGATCATGGTAACCGGTGGTTAGAGACACTGAGTGATATGGCTGAATGTCGTAAACAGTGGCGTCCGTGCATCTCAATTTCTTTGCAACATTAGTCCACTGAAATTCTCCATTTTCTATTCGACTCTGCTTTCAATTTTCCTGTCTTTCTCCTACTGTTCATCCAAATGGGCAACCAAAAGACAGCAACTGAAACCGGTGCATGAAAGTGCATGGTTATTGGTTGTACAAACTGAAACTGTTATCGAACATTGAATTTATTTACCCGAACAGCTGTACGTAGTAATAATAGTCATTTAACGGGCAGAAGGTTTTACAAAGCTCTTCTGTTTCCACCTTGATCCACATTGGAAAATTTCACAAAATGATAAACGGTATTTTCCGGTAAAGAATCGGTGCCCAAACATGGTAAACAGAAGTATGCGTTCATCAAAGCTCGTCCTGTGCATGGATCGCCAAATCTGTGGGATTTGTTTCTCATCTGGCAGAACGCAAAGATATTTTGCATTCACCTAAGAGCAATATGACCATACTAGTCACGTCACTTTGACCCCGGGGAATAATTTATTCCATACGCCTAGATTTCATGAGCAAATCCAATAATTATGAGGTTATCAGGTAGAATTGGTTGGTGGTGGTGACGGGGAGGAGGACATGAGGAGGAGGAGATTTGAAATTTAATTTGTACACATTTGTATAATGTTTGTTTATGTGTGTGTGCAAGGATTTACCCACCTGCGCAAATTATTAAATGTGCGTAGTCGCCACAATGTGTATCACAAGAGGAATCCACTACACCCAACAGTACTACTATTTGAGTTCATTTTTGGCACGCGTCTCTAGTAGTAGTCAGTCGCTTTGATATGCACAAGCATGTGCACGAGTTAAAAGATGCTGTTATTGCTGCTGCTGCTGCTGCTGCTGCCACCACTGACCTGTTTCTGAGACAAGTGCAGCCGCATGAAACGCACAAATATTCAGAATACGAATTCAATGTGTTTTTCCTCTTCTTAGATATTCACATGAGTGTTTAGCTTGATTACTCCCTGTTACTGAATGATGTAAAAGTTTATTAAGGCTAATTTAAAATGACAATACCAATAAGCCCTAGATTAAGAGTTTGTCACCTCACGACGACAGTGTTCTTCTGTATTTTACCAATCAGATCAGATCGCATCCCGTCACAGTGTGTGACGTTGGTCAACAAGTAGAGACTGTATGAGTTCACTGTCACACACACACACACAATAACCTATATGTGTAATATAAAGAGCAGGAAGTGAAGTAAATAGACAATAGAAATAAGATTCTTAAATAAAAGGTTTTCGTGAACTCGAGGACATTGTTTTTTTGTTCCAACCGGTGAATCGAAGAAACCGACCAATGGAAATAAGCCATACACAAATTGGTTTGATTTTTCAGTCAATTTACTCATCACCGCCTGAAGTGTTCATGCACTGTCTGTTCCGCAGGTTGTTAAGTTGAGTAATTAAAAAAACGATTTCACTGTTGATTGTTGATTTTCCAGATTGGCCGTCTTTTTCGCCCGCAATTTTCGGTCATCGTAAGACTTTTTCCCCAATTTAGAAGTGGTGGCCAACAGTGTCCAGATTCGCCACGGATGAGCGTGAAAAGATTGCGTTTTTGGGGGTCAGGGTGCACGTTCAGACATTGGTTCGGTAATAACGATATAAACAGACTTTGATCAACTTGGCGCCCTGTGTTTTGATAACGGGGATGTGGTTATTTTGGTTTAGTTTACATGACTTGTCAACAACAGTCGATCGTTCGGTCCGCTAAAACAGAAATCGAAACAAAGTCGCCAGTCATCAGTCATTCTGTCGAAGTCCCCCAGGCCGAGGGACTGTGTGCAACCTTTCACACACACACACACACACACACACACACACACACACACACACACACGAACACAAAGCGCGTGATACGGTTAACGGTAAGGACATTCATACCCGACATTATCAGTGCATGTTAACTGACTGTTAGTAGTCACTCATCGAAGCCCCGACCATTTCGAGATTACAGCAGATAGCAAAACCACTGTCTTGCATGGATTCACCCCTTTAGTTCGTCAAAATCATGGCACCTAAGACAGAAGAAAAAGGCAGAGATCTCTTTTGTTCTTTATGGCACATTGACGTGTGCACAAGGCACACTGGTAACACAACCTCCGACCGCAACAGCTTGATTTGTATGACAGTTTGGTTTTGAACAATGCAAGTGTTTATCACTTGTGGAATGAATGCATGGCACTGTAATAATAGCCCTCCCCCTAGGGGGAATTTAGTCGCCTTTCTTTCAGAATGACACTTCCGATAGAATAATTTCAGACTATAGACTACTGATCTGATTCCTCACGAAGTTCTAATTACTCCTGCTTCTATCGGTTGTGAATACTCGGGTGCGGGGTTGATAGATCCAAACTGAGCCGTCGTATACGTATACACAGACGTTTTCTCTCTCCCGGCCATTATCTTATTGTCACAGAGTCTTACCATTTGGGATTTCTATTTATGTCTGTAAATCAGCCCCACAGATCAAGGAAAGGGATCCAGAAGGACACTAAATCGTTAACAAAATATGAAGGTTGAACAAAACATGTTGATTGGGTGCCTGTACGGATAGTTCGTCAGCAGGATAAAGTTTAATTCGTGATAGTTTTTGTTCTAGACGGATAAAACGTACTGCAAAGGTTCTGTGTTTGTTGACGTGTACAAACGTTGCAGGGATGCGCATTACCTCCTGTCAGAGCAATGAGGCAAATCATTGCTTATTGTACCCAAACTTAGAGTTCCCGCCTAACCTACCTTCCATTCATCATGTAATGGAGAAACTCTGACGATTTCATCCCGAAGGTGGTCTTTCTGTGCTTTACAAGTCTCCAAACATCGATTTCACTGACCAATCTTCATTTACGGGTTCGTTGATCAACCTTCAAATTCTGTGCTCCCATTGGTAGGTAATTGCTGATTTCCTCTTCATCTAGCATGCAACGCGAACATTACTTATATATTCCGATTGAAATAGTTACAGATGTGTAGGGACTTTCAGAAGGATAATCGATATTTCAAAAAGGGGACCTATGCTCCGATGGCCACGTGACAAAATCAACATAATGTCATCACAATCATAAATTATTTAACTATTAGGCATCCCAAATCGAGTGCTATCCAATGCTTTGAACAACGATCTTCCTCTTGATAAATAAAAAATAATATACGTTTTTGCTTTCTTTTTTTACTTGACATGACAGTCAAGTTTTAGGAAAGGCTTTGATCATACAATGGCTAGATGGGGCAATAGAAATGGGGAAGATGGGCGGCGCTGATGGTGGGAGGGATTCCGGGACTGAAGATCACCCGGTCGCCATTCTGATGACCTTAACCACTTGACTATCGCCGTCCAATTCGGTTCTCGCTCCCAGACTCACGGACTGGGGCTGTTGTTGTTGTTGTTGTTGTTGTTGCTGCTGCTGCTGCTGATGATGATGATGATGATGAACTCGATAGTTTGCCGTTATTCTATCTTAATCAGATCTCTGATCTTTACTCTACCCGATTTCTAATCTGTTATGGGGAGTCCGATGATTTTTTGATTTGAAAACGGTTCCATATTCTGCCCTGCATCTTCAAACTGGGCTAAATATGTTGTGGCGTATGGGAACATCAATGTTCTATAGTGTGTATGGTGTTTGACGTCCTCTTTATATTGCATACCTGTATCTGAATTGGGACAGTCAATATTTTGGTAATGCCTCAGAACTGGTTGCCTACGGTATAGACCTACAACAAGGACAAGTCTTCACTTGGTTCTGCTAGCGCTTTTGACACAACCGCGGACAAGATAATGTTTCTTTATTGTGAAGCAGATAGAAAAGTCTAATGATTGCATAGGTAAACATTCGTTGATGAAATGTATTCAGGAGACATTTCGAAAGGCCACACGCACATACAATCCTATAACACTTTAAAATTATATGAGGCAAGAAAGGGAGCAGAAAACCAATATTGGAAGGAAAAGTATTTGAGCAGTGTTACTGATGGAGAAAATTTGTGCCATACTCTATTGATCCAGCAATCCTGGGAACTCTAGCTCAGGAATACATTTACTATTCTACTAACAATACGGACAGCTGATTATCGAAATACAGATTCTTCCTCTTTCTCTCTCTCTGACTGGCAGAAATTACAATCGAGATGCCCCACAGTTCCGGCTTGGCTCCAGTCCATGCATTTCGGGCATCGTCCACATCATCATCATCATCATCATCATCATCCGCACCATCCGAAGCGATGATGAGAGATTGGAACGGTGTCAAATGATTTGATCATAGAGCATACAACAAACTGTTCACATATGTGCCTCCGTACCAGACGAGAACCGCCTACAGACACGCCCAACAATGATGATACATAAGTGCGGGTACTACTCGAAGACGTGATAGTACTGAGCTAATCAATAACAAAGGTTTATCAACACAAAAATATACATGTTAACTACGAAAAGCTTGATGTATTTGTTACATAACTGACAGTTAAGATCAATTCAATTGGGGTTAGTTGACTCCTGCGTAGAAAATATATTATCTATTTTCAATGTTATTTCTCCCTCGGGGAACACCCAATGAGACTGTCGTTCAACTCCTTGTGATTGTGTGTTCAACTAGCATGGCTTATTCCAATCGGAACTAATCGATCCATAGCCAGAATAGATGTTATGTTCCAAGTGAGATAGAAAATTTAGGCATTCAAACGAGATAGTCTGGAAAGCGTCCAGTGTAGTAGTTCTGTAGAGTTTAGCAACACCAGCTTCATTCTCAGCTCTATCATACGATGGTCAAATTACTTTGTTAACTTGCGAAAAAGCACTATTCTATGCAATTGGAAGCACTGAAATAGCTTATTTCAGAACTGGTCACTCGTCAATATGCCCATCCCTAAGATAGAAAGCTTGTGTTCCATGATCACACAAAATCGCATTTGCCGATCTACACATGCTTGAAATCATCAGCGTATTTCGGAGGTCTTTCGAATGGCCCACCCTAAATCCGATCGCGCTTGTTGGCTGTGCTACTTCTTGTATAGCCCA